TAGGATAAAGCAGACTTTAAATCCCTAAGACGTCTACCTTTACCTCCTAAGTGCTGGGATTAGGAGTATGTACCATGCTACTGTATGCTGCACAGATTTGTTATTTATTTAGAATCATTGCTACACGGATATTTTTTACTGTTTTCTTCCTGACTTAAGCTCTGTGTTGTTTTGGAGCCAGAGCTCAGTTTACAGCACCACCAAAACCAAACAAATAGTAAGTGCTGTGTTGTGCGTCTCAGTGACTGATCTGGGAGTTCTTGTCTGCTGTGCTCTGGCAGGAGCACTGAATTCCTGGCAGGGAACTAGGCTGTGGTATTCAGCCGAGGTGTTTTCTCATGAGTAATCAATGTTTTCCAGCATTAGGAAGTGACGATTTTGTAAAGGGGAACCAGAAATACAATATAGTCCTTCACTAAAGTTTTCAAACATGGGTACTTTTTAAAGATAATCTAAGAATGCATGTTTTACTGAGCACTGACTCATCCTGTACTCACCAGGACAACAATCCCTGCGATGATTGCTAATGTCACCACCACAATGACAGCGATGATCCCAGCTGTGAGGCCCTGCATGGAAAACTCAGGTGCCTTTTCATCAACGTAGTAAATCAGAGTCTGCCCGGGGTCCAGATCAAGTGGCTCTCCATTCACTCTTAGGTCCATGTTCTTAGAAGGATGGAACAAGGATTCCCCCTTCACCTACAAAGGAGAAGAACAGTAAAAACTGTTCCAGACAATCAGCACGGGCACCAGTACCTACACACCAACTGTAGGCCAGAAGAGGGCTACCAAGAATCCACAGTTTCCATAACAATCTGATCCAGGGAAACTTCAAAGCACGATTTATTACAGGAAAATGCCATCCACAGAAGGAGAAATGAAGTCCATGGTCCTACCCTGCAGACTAAAACATAATACTCAACCAATTTAGTCTCATTCTTTCTTTTATCCCTTCATCTCCCATGCCCAAATATTCTAAAGTAACTCTCAGAAGAAATACTTCACTGTAATAAACACAAGTGTAGCCAGGTGCTGGTCTTCCATCTGTGACCCTACCATCTGAGAAGACTGAAGCCTACCCTCTATCATGAGTTCTAGGTTAACCTGGACTAATGTAAAGACTGTCTGAAAACAAAGAGGAATAATAAAGGAAGAACAAACAATAAAAAATATATATATACTTACATATGAAGTTGTCTTTGAACTCAGTCCCCCTGCCTCAGCCTTCAGAGCATCAGAATTACAGTGTATTTATTCTACCACCTCTGGGGCTCACATAATGTTTTTAAAATGGAAGCTGCACAGTAGTGGTGCACACCTTTAATCCCAGCACTCGGGAGGGAGAGGCAGGTGAATCTCTATAAATTTTAGGCCAGCCTGGTCTACAGAGCAAGTTCCAGGACAGCCAGGGATATACAGAGAAACTCTGTCACGGGAAAAAGAAAGACAAAACAGAGACTGACTTGACTTTTCAGCAATTAGGAGGACTTGAGTTTGGTTCCCAGATCCCACATCAGGCAGCTCACAATAAACTATAATCCAGGTCCTGGGGTTGCATTCAGCCTCTGGTCTCAAGGCACCTGCACTAACATGCATATAGGTACACACAGACACACAGACACACTTACACAGAATGAGAATTAGTCTTTAAAATGGAGCTGACTCCTATTCATTACACACACACACACACACACAGGAGTAAGCTAGGTGTACATAGCTTAGTAGTAGACTGTTCCCAGCATTCCAGCATACTGGAATACACACTGGGTTCAATTCCTAACACAGCAAAGATTAAAATGGGAGTCAGAGGGCCTAGGGACTGGCAGAATGCTTACCTAGCATATCCAGGGTTCAGGGTCCAGTCCTCAGTATGACATAAAATAGTCATAGTGAGTCATACACTTGTAGACTAGCACTTGAGACTATCACATCACAGACCCCTACCTGTCCCTCCTTCTCCTAAGATAGCAGGCCATGCATTTCCTACCAGCTATGGTTTCCGTGTTGCCTGCTTACAGGATTTGTGCTTCCTCATCTCTCTGCTCCTAACAGACATGCTCTATGGCCAGGCTCCTAGCCTGAGAAAGCTATGAACAGGCTCCCTCTGGATCTCACCAGCCTGCTCCCTGTCCCCTGCCATGGAAAATATCTCTATTCTTTCATTTTACATTTCTCTTTGCTTTAGATCTGTTTTTATTATCCTTAATTGTTGTTTGTTTTTTGTTTGTTTTGTTTTTCGAGACAGGGTTTCTCTTTATAGCCCTGGCTGTCCTGGAACTCACTCTGTAGACCAGTCTGGCCTCAAACTCAGAAATCCGCCTGCCTCTGCCTCCCAAGTGCTGGGATTAAAGGCGTGTGCCACCACCGCCCAGCCTGTTGTTTGGTTTTTGTGTTTCGAGACAGGGTTTCTCTCTTCAGCCCTGGCTGTCCTGGAACTCATTCTGTCCACCAGGATGGCCTCGAACTCAGATCTGCCTGGCTCTGCTTCCCAAGTGGCAGTGCCATCCACTGCCCATCTATTATCCTTAATCTCAGTTGACAGCTGCCTGGTGTGCTTGCTGGGGATCACACACAGGTCCTCTGAAAGAACAAGACATGTTCTTCACTCTGCTAAACCTGCCCCACTTTACACCAAAGTGTATATATAATGTTCTCCCCTCAAACCCCATGGCCTCTGGAATGATGCACCATCCCTCATAAAGCCTTCCTACCCCATGACCCAACCACACAGCCCCTGTGACTGTGTGGCCCTCTCTCTCCTTGTAAAGCTCATCTTTGAAGGACAATCTCATAGCATCTCCTTTCCCAAACTACTACTCTCTCTTTATAAATAATGCCCAACAATTGGAAGGATGGAAGCAGGAGGATCAGAAGTCCAAGGACAGCCTATAAAAACCTGCCTCAAAAAGGAACAAACCCTGGGCATGGTTATGCATATCATTGACCCAGCACTTCCAGGAAGCAGAGACAGAAAGATCTGTGTGACTGCAGGGACAGCCAGGGATATATGTATTGAGATTCTGTCTCAAAAAAAACATTAAAAAAGTATTAAGCTTTAAAAATTACATAGTTGGCCGGGCAGTGGTGGCGCACACCTTTAATCCCAGCACTTGGGAGGCAGAGGCAGGCGGATTTCTGAGTTCGAGGCCAGCCTGGTCTACAGAGTGAGTTCCAGGACACCCTGGACTACACAGAGAAACCCTCTCAAAAACAAACAAACAAACAAACAAACAAAATAAATAAATAAAATAAAAAATAAATAAAAATTACATAGTTCATACTTACATCTTTTTCAAAATAGTAAGCCACATCAGCTATGTCCACATCATCTTGAGTTTTCTGAGAAGAGTTTTGCATCAGATCAATAGTGATAACGTTATTCTCATACTGGGGGAAAAAGTGAAAATACAAATTAATATAATTAAAATATATGAAAAGTTTGTTCAACAGTCAGAATATATAGAATTTTATTTTCTACAGTCTACATCCACTAGGATGTATACATTAATGAATAATTTATCACTAGTAATTGAAAACTCTTTGAGAGGACTTTATCTAAGAGAGTAAAATAGCCAATTCAAACCGTTTAAGGAGTTAGGAAAGGGCTAAATAGGTATGATGGCTAGTTTTAATTGTCAACTAAAATCTAGAATCATGTGAGTCTCGATGAGGGACTGTCTATATTGGGTTGACCTATGGACAACTCTGTGAGAATGATCTCTAGTATGTTAATTGAGGTGGGAAGACCCACAAGGATTATGGCCTGTATGACTTCCTAGGCTGGGGCCTGGACTACAAAGAAAGACAGAAAGCTGGACAAGGCCGGGCAGTGGTGGCACACGCCTTTAATCCCAGCACTTGGGAGGCAGAGGCAGGTGGATTTCTGAGTTCGAGGCCAGCCTGGTCTACAGAGTGAGTTCCAGCACAGCTAGGGCTACACAGAGAAACCCTGTCTCGAAAAACAAACAAAACAAAACAAAACAAACAAACAAAGCAAGCTGGACAAGGCATGCATAGATTCATTTTCTGCTCTTGACTGTGGATGTTGCTAGCTGCTTCATGGCCACCATGCAGAAAGTTCCTGCTGCAGTGACTTCCTACAATGAGGCTCTAATCTGGAACTGTAAACTAAAACTAAATCTGTAAACCCTGTGGGGGCTGAAGACGCGGCTCAGCAGTTTACAGCACATGCTGCTCTTGAGGACGGGGTTCAATTCCTAGCTGCTAACCATCTGTAACACCAACACTATTGAGTCCACCCAATGCCGTTCTCTGCATTCCTGGAGCACCAGGCAAAAACATGGTGCTCATATACACATGCAGACTAAACACTCATACAAGTAATATAACCCTAAAAATACAATCAATAAACCCTCTCTCTCCTAACTCGCTTTCTTCAGGGCTCCTTATCACAGCAACAGGAAAGGAAATCAAAACACTGGGTAAGGATAGCCTGTGGCAGGCATGCAGAAGGCAATCACAGAGAGCCTACAAGGTAAGGGCAGCATGCCTCAGCATAAGAGATACTACGCGTCCTTTATGTGTCCTCAAGGGCACACTGAAACTTGCAAAGTTAGTTGATGGAAGGAAAACTACTTGGATTCCATATTAAGTGCTCAGGATTTAAATTGTTATAAAAATTCATTTAGCTACCATTAAAAATCACTGGCTGTCCACCTGGGCCGTAATGGAGCACGCCTTTGAGCCCAGTACTTGAGAGACAGAGGCAGGCTCATCTCTGAGTTCTAGGCTAGCCTGGTCTACAGAGTGAGTTCCAGAATAGCCAGAGCTACACAGAGAAACCCTGTCTGGGGGTGGGAGAGATCAACAGTGGCTGTCATTTATACTTAAACCAATCTCCCCTGCCAACTTGCTGCTAAAACTAGCTCACTTACAAAAAAAAACAAAAACAAAAAAAAACAAAAAAACTTACCATAATGTTTTTGATAAATCTCTGACTCAGTTTATATCGAGATGTGAACGCCTCCTGAAGTGCACTGCAAATAATTTACAAGTTTTGTTTTTTTTAAATTGTACCATAATAGAATCTCTACTTTTTAAGCAGATAGCTCAAGAACTTAGTTGTTATAACATATATATATTTTAAAGAAAGGGGTTCACTATGTAGCTAGCCCTCGCTGACTTGGGACCTGGAGTGCAATGGTGGCTAGACTGTATAATTATATGTACATAATTTAATTAATGTAATTTACAGTCATAGTAAGTGGTTCAAGCCAGCATCAGCCATTGATCCTAGAGCTGTTGTTGAGTGTCAGTCTGATTAGAAGCAGAACATTTACACAGTACCCATGTATCTGTCAATGGATTATTCATAAATTCCAAAAGGGAGAATGGTAACTTCACAATAGAGAAACCTGGCAGACATCCCATCATGACGTGATCTGAGTGACCTGAGGCATCTGAGGGAAAGGCACATGATCACTTGTGTAGTTTTCCTGTCACACACAGTGCATAAATACAGAGTGTATGTGTAATCACACTTACGTCTGCAAACTCTGAAGGTCGTAAGGGTTTTCTCTTTCTTTGTGTTTTAGTTCAATGATGATCCAGCTGTAAGACAAGATGGTGTCAACTGTATAACTCTTTTATGCTGTTCAGGAGGAGGGATTAGAGCTCACAGAACCTGTAAGTGTGGTGAACACACCTCACATATCCTGCAGAGAGCACACCCAGAAGGGAATGCCCTCTCTGACACTGATTGCTGCTACAGCTACAGCACATGAGGCCGACTGCAGTCAAGGCTAGGCTGGCTGTGTTGTTGCAGAGGGCATAGCATTGCAAACACACACTATGGAGGCAGAGGCAGGAGAAGGCAAGCCAGGATTCTAGCACAAAACTATGTCAGAAAGAAATGGGGGGTGTGGAGCACAGAGAGCAACAATTGCCCAAAAGTCAGAGCCAGCAATTCCAAGCCTTGACCCACCTCCTTCTCAGTTTCTTCCTTTCCGACAGTAGCTTATGCTTGACAGGCCTTGTGTCTGTTTTTATCAACCTCTCCACCCTCTGGGTAGAGCTCGCATAGAGGCCCAACTTCTCCACCACTTGTCACCAGCACAAATAGCTCCGCTTTAGAACCCAGTAAATGAACACATATATACAGTCTAAGTCACTCGTACTCACTCCACACTGATCCAACTTCAGTGAAAACAAAGGGAACAATGTCACATCCACTACCGTTTCCATAAAACCTAAGACCCAGCCTATCTATACAGGAAATTCATTAAGCCAGCTCTGGAAACGTCACAACCCCAGGCCAAAGATCATTCCAGGCCTCCTTCCATTTCCCACACTTAATTACTTGCCAAAGAGAAAAAGTTTCAGGAGTCAGACAGTTTCCACAAAACAACACAGTTGGAGTAGAGCCAAGAAAACAAATATAACTGGATTAGGGCCAAAAAAGCCCAACTCAAATAAAGGCGGCTTTTTTTTTTTGTTTTTTGTTTTTTTAGGTTTTTCGAGACAGGGTTTCTCTGTAGTCCTGGCTGTCCTGGAACTCACTCTGTAGACCAGGCTGGCCTCGAACTCAGAAATCCGCCTGCCTCTGCCTCCCAAGTGCTGGGATTAAAGGCGTGCACCACCACCGCCCAGCCAATAAAGGCGTTTTTTGAGGCACAGAGACAGGATGGACATTTGTCACTCCAAAGAGGATCTCAAGTAGCCCAGGCTGGTCTCAAACTCACTGTGAAGACAAGTCTGGCCCTGAACTCCCATGCCCAGTTTTTCCTGGTTTTTGAATTCCAAAGCACAGAATGTTATTTGGTATTCAACGGCAAACACACGTGAGAAAGCTCACTCACTAGGTCCTCACTCTCTCAGAGCACGTTATCTCTGAGTCCTTGTCGGTTCTTCTGACTCCAGCAGTGTTCACGCACCAGCATGTGGCGGTGCCATTGCATTGCTTGGCTTTGAAGAGCCCGTGCTCGTCGCACTCGGGATCATACAGACCGTCGTTGTTCTGGATGGCCCCATCCGGCTTCATCCTCCTTCCAGACTTGCTGTGAGTCATTTCCGCCTTCATCACCAAACATTTGGATGCCACTAAAAAGACGGTGGTAAAGCCAAATGAAAATAACCACAGCTTCACGTGCCCAGGGCAGAACTTTTAATCGGCTTTCATCCCAAGCCATTCCATTTCCCCATATTTAATTACTTGCTGAAGATAATTTCCACAAAAATAAAACAGATTAGAGCCAGTAAAACTCAACTAGAGGGGCCTCAATTTGAAAAATATTATCAAGATTAAACTTCCAGGCAATAAGAATCTTTACTCACGTTTGGAGCAAATGACAGTATTTTGTGTACCATAGGAAGTACACTGGCATTCACCATTTTCATTCTGAGAGCAACTTGTTGCCAGCTTGTAGTTGTCACACACACAGTCTAGAAAATTGTAAAAAATTAGTTTAAAATGTAGTTTCAACTTTCAACTCATTCTGTCAATCGTGCCTTTGAGATGTGGTCCTGGGCCACACGTGCGGTCTCATGCCTTTAGTCCTAGCACTTGGGAGGCTAGAGCAGAGTTCCCCCATCTTGGAAAAAAAAGTTATCCTCCACCCATGTGCCTTGTCATACAAATGACATCTCTCAAAAAATAAATATACCAGGATATAATGGTACACACTACAGAGGCAGAGGCTGGTGGATCTCTGTGAGTTCAAAGCCAGCCTGGTCTACACAGTAAGTTCCAGGAGAGCCAAGACTATGTCTCTTAAATAATAAAAATAAATAATTTAAAAAGTAAGACCAAAAACTGTACCTCTGAATATTTTTCAGCTGTAATTTAAGTGTGAGTCGTCTCACACTGGCCATTTTGTGGCATCATACAGTCTAATCTTTGCCAGTTCCCACTTCCACTTTTCTGTATGCTGTTAATTTTTCAGGGGAGAACTTTGTTCTAAGCACAGTGAATCAAAATGTGTTAAGGAAATGTGGCTAAGAACTCTGCAGGGTGGGAGTGGGCCCAAGGGAAGACACTTGGGGGTTTTCTCGGCAGTGCCAAGGACAGAGCCTTGGGCTGTGCTCACGATAGGTTAGCACACCCTTGTTATCTATCTCTTCCTTGTCAGCAGGCTCTCGTTCTTTTTAAATTTATTACACTTATTCACTAACTGGAGCAGGGCACTCTGAGGTAGACGTAGAGAGGTCAGAGGATAAACTAACGTGTTCAGCTCTTTCTCCCGTCCCATTACCTTGCTCCTGTAATCAAACTCCGGTCACTAAGTCTAGTGATCCACAAGTACCTTTAGTCACTGAGCCATTTCTCTGGCCCTAAACTAGAGATTCTTTGCCCTTGGTCTCCTGGGTGCCAGGCTCAGGGGTGTTGATTACTACCCATGGACAATTTTGTTGTTGCTAGCTTTGGTTTTAATTTTTAATTATTTTCTGAAGCAGGGTCTTGCTATGTAATCCAGGTTAGCCTCCAGCTCACAATCCTAAGGGCTGGAATCACAGACATATACATAACTATGTTCCCTGAGTGACCTGGTTCTGTGTAGACCAGGCCGTTTTCAACCAGAGATCTACCTGCCAGATCTTCAGACAGAGTGCTAGGAGGCTTGCACCACCAGCCTAGCCAGAAAGTTTTAAAAACAGCTCTCTAAAGATCTTATCAAGCCTTGTGGCTGCACTACTGAGCTTTCCTTCTTAAAGTTAACATTATTCAAGTGTGGAAGTCAGAGTAAGTGAGAGTCCTTCTCCCCTTCTGCCAGTGGGCCTTGGGAATTTAACTCGGGAGTAACTTTACCCACTGAGCCAGTAACGGCCCTGTCATTTAAAAAAAAAGACAAAAAAACCTTTTCCCTTTCCTTCTTCCCCGTGTCCCTCCCTCCCTCTGTGTCCTTCCTTCCCTTTCTGGATGTTTCTGGATTTTACAGCCCAGGCTCACAAAAGCCCTCCTGCCTCACCCAGCGTGCTCGTACACCTGGCTGCTCCCCTCTTCCCAGCATCTCCTCTTCACGTACAATTTCACACTTGTCTACGAGTAATTCTATCTTTCTCCCTCAAAAGTCAACAACTCCAATTCTACAATCGATAGATCCTCCTGACATCCTTCTTTACCCAGTTTTCCTAAGGAATGCCTACCTGGGGCCCATTAGGTATCTATTTAAGCTTTTCTTCATTAAACAGGGTTCCTTTAGCCCAGGCTTGCCTCCATGGCCACACCAATTCAAGATGACCTTGAATTGCTAACCCTACAGGTTACACTTCCCAAGGTCTGGAGTTACAGGTACCTTGTTAATGGGGTGCTAGGGAACCAAGCCCAAGGTTTTTGAGGCAAGCCCTCTACATCCCAGCCCTCAATTTACAAATTAGACCAAGATATCAGAAAACTATAACTTGATTAAAGTGTATTAAAGTATGATTAATGAATATAGGCCACATCTCCTAGTAGAGAATGAAATCTTTCCCAGAAAACAAAGCTAAATTATATTTAGCTTAAAAATTGAGAAAGAAACAAAAGGAAAAAAATTCTCTCCAGACTGTTTTGTTCAATTCTCCACTTCCAGACACCATCTTAGAAATAAATCAAAAGTCGGGGCGAACTCTATAGTAAAAACAACTAGGATCGAACTCGGTGTCCTCGCTACAGATTGTTCAGTCATTGTTTCAGAATAATTCTTAAAGACTAAAGGAAACAAAAACGTGGCTGTAGGGATAAAGGCCCATGAGTTTGATCCCCAGAGCTGACTTCCACAAGTTGTCCGACTCCATGCAAACAGTTTTAAAAATAAATGCCTAAAGGAAGTAGAAAAGTTCCTTCATGAAATGTTGGAAAGATAGTTATATAAATCTACCTATATTCCGAAACACAAATATGCACAATTTTTAATCAGAGAATTCTTAAGAGTGGAATGATTATGCGATATTTAGAAAGGTCCTTACAGTTTATCTTTGTATCTGTCCTCCCTACAATAAACACTGCATTAGTCAGATTCTTAGAAAAGGGAAAACACACCTCCGACCGGTAAGTCCCAGAAGGCCCGCCTCCGACGCGCAGGTGCACAGCGGCCTCGGGGGAGCTACCTGTCCCCTCCCGGGGCCCACATCCGGGGACCAGGGCAGGTACGGAGGGAGGGGGTACTGACGGGCATGTCGCAGCGACAGAGACCCGCGCTTTGGGACTTGGAACCAAGTTGGAGCCGCCCGATCCAGGGCGATGGCCGCTCACCCAACCTAGCCCCACGCCCCCGCCAGGCACAGCACACCGCCGCCTCGTCGGAGCGCGCGTCCCGCCCGCACCATCCGGTCTCGGGGCCAGAGAGCGCAGCCCTGCCGTCCGCTCCCCATCACTGGCCCGACACGACCCCACACCTCTGCCCCAGCTCCACGCCTCACCTTTCTGAGCCGCGGCCAGCGTCACCGTGACCACCGCGAGCAGAAACCCGACCGAGAGGGCCTGGGGGGACGCCATGCTGCGCGCGGAGTGGTGAGGACTCGCGGGGGTGCGGTGCGGGACGGCTCCGGGAACAGTCGCGCTGTGCGGCGACCGACGGACTGAGCGCTCTGCGCGCGGCGAGGCGGGAGCCGACCTGCGGACCTGCGGCCCCGGCGGCCACGCCCCTCGGCCCTCCCCGCCCTCACCTCCGCTCGCCCGCCCGGGGTGAGTCACCAGCCCGCGCGCCCGCCCACCCCGCCCCCTCTCCAGGTGCGCGCTGCCTAGGACTTGAGGCGGGGACTCCAACATCCGGAAGGACCGGATGTCACGGGTACCAGGACGAGACTGGACCTGAAAGCCGAAAGGGATACCAAGTCAAACCGTGAACTTCCTGGAGGAAAGACAACAGAGAGTACTTGTCTTTGCGCTGCGACTGGCAATTTACTTTCCAATACCTTTTCAAACTTTTAAAATTGTTCTTTAACGTGTACGAATTTTTGCCTGCGTGCATGTGCACCACCAGCATGCCTGGTCCCCGCATCAGTCAGAAGAGGGCTTCGGATCCCCTGGAGCAGGAGTTATGGATGGGCAAGAGCCACCTTATGAGTGCTGGGAATGAACTTCTAGAGCAATGATTCACAACCTTCCTTACGCTGCGGCTGTGGTGACCACCCACACACTATACAATTATTTTCATTGCTACTTCATAACTGTAATTTGCTACTGTTATGAATTATAATGTAAACACGCCTGTTTTCCGATGTTCATAGGCAATTCACACAGATTGAGAAAACACTATCAGAGGACCAAGTACTCTTAACCGCTGAGCCGTCTCCAGCTCGGATAGTATGTAGCTTTTTTTTTTTTTAACTAAAATGCTTGTTGTAAGTATTATATATTTTAATTATTTTATTTTTTGAGATTATGGTAGAATTACATTAATTCCTCACTTCCCGCCCTCAAACCTACCATATATCCCTCCCTGTTCTCTTCCAGATACAGGGAATCCTGAGCCATATATTAAATAGTGTTGATAAAACAGATTTCTTCGAAAGTGTAGAGAAGTCTTAGAAACAAAGATTTAAAAGACAGGAAAAGGCCAGGCGTAGTGGCACACACCTTTAATCCTAGCACTAAGGAAGGAGAGGCAGGAGGATTTCTGTGAGTTCGAGTTCAGTCAGGCCTACACAAAAGAAACAACGTCTCGTGCGGGGAGGGTGGGTGTTAATCAAGGAAAGACCTCTAGCGACATACGAAGCAACAGCGGAAGGCCTCACACACCACAAGTCAGCCAGAGGGGGGAAAAAGTGCTGCTTCTCCTCCAGAGCTGAATTTAGTGGGTCTTTGGAGGGGTGGGGTGGGGCGGGCACACTGTTCAGCCCCCAGTTTGGGTTGGTCAGTTTGAACAAAGACGATGCAGCCGATAGGCCATTCCGTTGGGGTAAACAGTTCCTGATCCAGTCTTGAACTTGTCAGACCGGTCCTCCAGCAAATGGGCCCTACTGGCGGGAGAAAAAGTAGGCCAGGCCTTCTCTTTAAGCTGCCAGGCATTTATCTCTAGTCAGGAGGGTGAGGGAGAAGCTGGAGGTTTGCCATCTTCATCAGCTATTTTTGTGGCCCTCACCCTAAATGTCTGCCTGTTAGGGATCTTCTAACCCCTAGTTCCTCACTGAGAACCTGATGACCTAGATTCAGTCCTTTGGACCCACAGGGTGGAAGGACAGAGCCAACTCCTACTAGTTAATCCTCTGGCCGCCATCTTCCTGAAGTAGCATGACACTCCCCAGTAGAATGGGGAGGGGGTTTCAGACACCAGACTACACATCTCTACATAGAGCACAGATAGAATTTTGGATACAATACTCTTTATAGCATTTCAAAGAGAATAGCCCCAATCTCTGAGTCAACTGACAACTTAGAAGAAGTTGCGCGCTGGGCAGTAGTGGCGCACGCCTTTAATCCCAGCACTTGGGAGGCAGAGACAGGCGGATTTCTGAGTTCAAGGCCAGCCTGGTCTACAGAGTGAGTTCCAGGACAGCCAGAACTACACAGAGAAACCCTGTCTCGAAAAAAGAAAGAAAGAGAGAGAGAGAGAGAAAGAAAGAGGATCAAATGGGTGATGGTTTGATTATTTTTTAAAAGACAGTATCTTTTTTTTTAAAGATTTATTTATTTATTATATATGAGTACACTGTAGCTGTCTTCAGACACACCAGAAGAGGGCATCAGATCTCATTACAGATGGTTGTGAGCTACCATGTGGTTGCTGGGATTTGAACTCAGAACCTCTGGAAGTGCAGTAAGTGCTCTTAACCACTGAATCATCTCTCCAGTCCAAGACAGTATCTTTTTAAAAACTATATTTTATTTATTTTTATTTTATGTGTATGAATCTTTTGCCCACATGTATGACTGTGCCCATACAGGCCAAAGAGAGCATTGATCCTCTGAACTGGGAGTTACAGACAGTTGTAAACTGCCATGTGGGTGTCAGAAGCTGAACGCTGGTCTTCTAAGAACAGCCAGTGCTCTTAGTCACTAGGCCACCTCTCTAGCCCCAAGGCAGTGTCTTATGTAGCCCAGACTGAAGTCAAACTCACTACGTGGCCCTCCCCTCTTCCTCCCAGGTTCTGGGATTCGGGCATGTGCCACACAATGCCTTGCAGGATGCCCTGTATATTGAAGTATTTCCTAGCTGAGAAGATAGCGTGGGGATGAGGAGGAATGGACGGTGCTTATGTAACCAGCAGAGAGACAAGAACAGAACTGAAAGGTCCCATATGTGTTTATGGAGTGACTCCCATGGTTGAAATGTGACTTTGTCAAGACTAAGACATTAGTTAGCATTGGTTCAGTGTTAGTAAACTACAGATCTTATTTAGAGTCCCCAGCTTTTTTTTAACTATTGTTTTTCCATATCCCTGTGTTAGAGTAGCAACAAAAGCCTATTTAGGGGAAACTTTTGGTCACGAGAATCAGCCGCCTGGGACTGGGTCAATCACCTGGCCAAGGGATCACCCTTAGGAAGTTGGGTTCATCTTAAGCCTTGTAAAGCAGAGAGGTGGAATAATTAGTCCTTTAATGAGATACTGTAGGCCCCTTCCCACAGTGCAGTCCTTACCCAGCAAGAGCAATGAGACTCTGCCTGGTCAAAGTGCTATTTCTTCCTTTTTTTTTCTTTCTGTCTTTCTTTTTGGTGCTGGCCAGAGCCTAACTTTGCTTTTTATGATTCCTGGGGCTTCCTCATTCTTTCTTTTGGGGCCCTGTCCCCCCTTGTGGCTGCCTGCTGCCCTTAGCTGACTTCTCCACTGGCTTGACTCAAGGGCACAGCTTTTGCCACCTCTCCTGTCTCCTCCTCTGCAAAGCTGCTGGGATGTAAACCTTACCTGCCCTGGGTGTTTTCTTTTAGCCTCTAATAAAGGTGTTGAGCTTCTGATTGAGACCTTTTTTATGTTCTTTGATTAATGAGTCCAAGAACCCCAAGAGGGGACCCCAAATTCCCATGTATCACCAAGACCAATCTGGAATCCCATATTGTCGTGTCTTTTGTTGTCACTCGTTTTTTGAGACAGGTCTCAGGAAGCACTCACTGACCATAAACTCACTTTGTAGCTAAGCATAGCCTTGAACTCTTGATTCTCTTGCCTCTGGCTGGAAAGTGCTGAGACTACAGGCATAGGATACCATGTCTGACCTAAGGTTTTGTTTGTTTGTTTGTTTGTTGTTTTGAGGAGGGATCTCACTGTACCAGATTGGACTCAACTCCTGGCAGTCTTCCTACCTCAGTATACTAACTGTTATCATTAAAAGCATAAACCACAGCTGAGCTGTGGTGCCGCACACCTTTGAACCCAACACTTGGAAAGCAGAGGCACACAAATCTCTGTGAGTTCAAGGCCAGCCTGGTTTACAAAGTAAGTTCCAAGACAGCCAGGGCTACACAAAGAAACCCTGTCTCAAAATAAGAAAACAAACAAACAAACAAAGCAGGAACTACCATGCCTTCCCCCCTCCTTCTTTTAAAAAAAAAAAAAGCTTCATTTTTTTTTCCATATGCGATTTAGTAGAAGTGCGTGGCTCATATACTTTGGTTCCTCATCAGATTGTGTAAATCTATCATCTTTTACTGAAGATTTCCATGGGAAGGATCCACTCTGAACCAATGTTTTGAGACCTCAAAATAGAAAAGAAGGAAAAGAAAAAGGAAGAGAATAGAAGAAATAATTATGGACTGGAGTGTAACCACTAGTCTAATGCATGTGCAAGGCCCTGGGTTATGGTATTTGTTTTTTGGGTTTTTTGTTTTTCCCTAGCAGCACATGCATACTCCACAAAGAAATGAGTCACCAAGTGTAACCTGAGGGGAGGGAAATTAAACAAAAGTGTGTTGAAGGGAGAGGTATTAAAAATTATGTGAGGGAGGCTGGAGAGATAGCAGAGCTGGTAAAGGGCTTGCAGTGTGTGGGGGCTTTGGGTCCCTCCCCAGCATCCATAGAAAGCAGATGTGGATGCAGAGGCTTGGAATCCCAGCACTGAGCAGCAATGGGAACAAAAAGGATCTGCATTGTCTGGCCAGCCAACCTGGCCTAACAGGTGAGCATCAGGCCCCAGCAAGACACCCTATTTTTTAAAAGCAAGGCAGAACCTAGAGCAGTTCCGAGTGCTTACTCTTACTATGGTTTTGGTTCCCATCACTGACGTCGGGGCTGATAACTGCCTATAAATCCAGAATCAAGGAATTAAACCTCTTAGAGCTGCCAAGGACACCTACACACACATTTTGCTCATAAACTCATTTAGGCACACACACACACACACACACACACACACACACACACACACACACACATATATATATATATATGTGAGCTGCTGTGGTGGTGGTACATTAATCCTTCAATCCCAACTCTTGGGAGGTAGAGGGAGAAGGATCTGTGAATTTGAGGAGCCAACCTGGTCTGCAGAGGGACTTCCAGGCCATGCTGGGCTACACAGTGAGACGCTGTCTCAAAACAGATAGATAGATAGATAGATAGATAGATAGATAGATAGATAGATCGCTCTGGAAATTAAGGCCATTTAAACAAGATGCCTAAAGAGAAACAATT